CTGCCACCGTCCCAAGCCACTGCCACATTGGATCGGGGTGTACCGAGGGATACATAGCCTCAGGTGGCCTCCACACCATAAAGTTCAATGGCTCTATACCAATTTGTAACGCTTTGAACTCATATTGTATAATATTGTTCGCTTTTAGCTAGACTCACATGACTTTAAAACGTGTTGTACAATGAATGTTCAAAACTCACACATATATATTGCTCCACATCCACTTCCCTAGTCAATGTGGGATTGGGTCATCACAATAAAGCTTTAAAGAGCTACCCATAAAGTGGATAAATATACAGGCACTGCATGGGGGTGGTAAGGTGTAGGGTGAGGGAGTGGGGTGGAGACTATAAATTTCACACATCGTACGGGATACTCTTAGTAGGATGTATATCATTTCATTATTTAATTTTGGGTTTTAATTCAAATAATAAAGGAAGTGTACACATTATTTACTCATTATAATATTGGGAGTACACATTTTTGGGTCAATGTTTGTGTTAGTAGTATACAGTATACTACAAGCATATGTACTGTAACAACACTATTTCCCTGTCATGCTGCCCTTTTGTATGACCATGTGCATGAGGGCAAAGAAATGTAGATAACTTTCAAACATAGACTCCTAATACTTTTCAAAAGTTATTGAAAAATAAATATCTGCATGCCTACAAAATTTTGTTTTCTCCTTCTTAAAAGGGGTGCAAAGAGGACTTCCTAGGGTGTTATACATTCTAGTACTATTCTTGCCTAACACTTAACTACGGAGTTTTTGTGGGATCCGGTACATTAGTACTGGTATGATCGCATCGTTCTGCATGCCTGCAATGTGTACATTTGATCAAGAGAAATAGAAATTGACATATTTTCAACTACATACTAGGGTTCATATCTCTCTACCATAAAGTAGAGTTGGGGTAAGAAGTTGAAAGTTGCTTTGGATGGTTGCCATTTTCATCATAAAACCCCTATGATGAAGGAATGAATCATGAGTTCTTGTAGAAACTCAAAGCTGTGTCCAGATAAGAATCTCAATTTTGGGGCCCTTTTCCTCTTATTCTGGTAGCCTGTTGGACAATGAGACATTAATTTGGTGGGGACAAGGCATGTGTTTTTGGGACCATTCTTCTTGAGAACTCATTTGTGTGCCGTTATGGCGTGTTTTAAGCTTTATTGTATATCACTTTTTTTGGATTAACAAAACTTTTCACCTTTTAATTAAAAAATATCATTTTATCGGTAGTGCTGACACATTGATGATGAAAATCCGCACAACATCAAGGAGGGAAGTCTAGCAGTCTATAGTTCTCTTTTCTTGTACAATAGGAGTTACCAAATTGTGAATCTTAGTCTCAAATGGGATGGATCCTTCCAGAGTAGTTGTTGGCAGTTAAGCAGTCTCATTCACCAGTAATCAGGATATCCATTCATGGGTATAAGTATAACCACTGAGGCTGACTGTTCCCTTCTTGTGCTTTTGTCAGTTGTTTAACGTAATCCTCACTAGTTCAAATCCACTTTGCGAGGAAGCATTAATTTATTTTAAATTCGGTTTACGATTTCAAAATTTCCCCATAGAATTTAGATGCATATAATCCAAGTTCACTTTTAATGAGGCCATTACATTTGGAAGGGAGAGGTGCACGTACATAGGTATTGATAAGTAACCATAATTTTGTCCAATTTAATGCAGTTGCACCCCCCGAATTTTTCAAAAAATTGTGTAGTGATCCTAGTCTTTTTTTGTTTTCCATAAGTTAATGGCTCATAGGCCCCCAAAATAAATATTTGTTTTTGGAATGAGTAAAATATATATAAAATATCCTACCTATATATAGATGCAAAAGATAAATTTTCTGCTGCTTCAAAAAATTAAGGGGTTGTTTGTTTACTGTTTTTATTTTGTATTTTGTGATAATGCACAAATTGGTATTGCGCAAAATCAACAGTCAAATATACCAAAAGACATAATTAATGAGTAGTAAATAGGCAATCAATGACAAAATTGTAAATAAGGAATCAACACCAAGATTTATAGTGGTTCGGTCCGGGTGACCTACTCCACTCTCGAAAACTGCAGCGGTGGCAGAGATCCTTATTGATGAATAATGTCACCGGGAGAGTAACTCCGGGAGTATAACAATACTTTTAGGAGAGAGAGAGACAGAGAAAAGTAATGGGTGTAAGGGTCTCAAGGTCATGGTCTCTATGTGGAGAGGACTTACATTATATAGGTTTAGTGAAGCGGTGACGTGAGGGAGAGGGTTTCTACTATTTTGGTAAGTTCAATCAAGATAAGATTAGATCTCCGTGCGTATCCCGATTTTCTATCACTCGTGCTCCTATTCAGTCAGAGGAGGATTCTGGGCTTGGACTTGAGTTGGTTGGTGCTGGACTTGAATTGGAGTGACAGAGTCAAGAGGGTGAAGGACTCCATGAGGTTGCGCAGGAGAAAGAGCAAGGGACAAAGGAGGGAAGGATTCCCTTGGGCGACGCCCCTTTGGGGTAGCTCCTTGAGAGTGTCCCCTTTAGACTCCTCCTTGACTTTGGCTTCCCTTGACTTGTTGACTTGTGCTCTGAGGTGACGTGAGTCTTTCTTGATTAATTGAGTTTAGCCCAATTAATTTCGGGTTCATCATTTTGTGTTTTTGTTTTCAATTTTTATCAAAAATGAAAATAAAAACTTATTTGGGTATTATTTTTGTTTTTGTTTTATATTCGTTGTTTGGAAATAAAGACAAAAAAATAGGAATAAAAAAAAATGTTTTAAGAAACACTAAAAATAGAAACAACACGGGCAAAAAGGGTGGAGAATTAATGAGATTCGGACGTCGACTTTTCTTAACAGGAAACAAGGCTTTTTTTTTGTTGAAGTATAAGAACTTATTTCATCCCTCTCTCCTCCCCATCGCTTTTCTCTCTCTCTCTCGCTCGGACTTTAACTCCACCAGACGAATCGCTGGCCCGTTACTCACCTCCATCGCTATCTCTGCCTCTATGAAACTCAGACGCTGTGAAACCCACCTCCATCGCTCCCTCTCTCTCTTTCCCTCTTTTCTGTGAAATCCAGAAGCCATGCATATATGCACAGATCTGTGCGCGCGTGTGTGTGTGTGTTGTGTTGAGTCTATGTGTGTATGTGTTTGTTGTGTTCATTCTGTGTGTGTTGCATTTGAGATTGATTGTCATTTGGTATTAATTGAATTGTTATTTACAATTATTGAATTGTCATTTAAGATTGCTTGAATTGTCATTTGGGATTAAATTGTTATTTGAAATTGATTGAATTTCCATTTGGTATTGTTGAATTGTCATTTGGGATTTAATTGTCAAATAGATATCAAATATATTTAAGATAAAATTTGAAGTAGTTATCAAACATATTTTTTGTTTTTATTTTCATAATTTGATAGACAAAAATAATTTCTAAACATGTTTTCTGTTTTAGTGTTTATCACAAAACAAAGACAAATATTATCTTTGTTTTTAATTTTTTTTAAGACACGAAAACAAAAACGTTATCAAACGACCCCTAAATTTTCAATAAGATGAATTATGACATACCCTAGGGGTTTCTCAACAAAAGGAAGGATAATTTTTTTTGCGGACTATGTGCATGTGTGCATTAAAAGGAAATTATTGAGAAATTTAGCTTAAAATAATCTATTCTGGAGTTAAGAGTAATACTATAATGTAAGAGTAATAACTACAAAAGTCATTTCCTCTCTAAAATGCTTGATACTTGGAGTTGAGAGTAATGCTATACTGTAAATCAAAAGTTTAAAACCAATATTCTAGGGTCCACTCTTTTCTTCTTGTGGTTGTTCTACTATATTTCGGTGTACGGAAAAATATCTCTTTATGTAAGTTGAATTTACTAATCAGCACATTTCAAAACTACTTCAGCTTAGCCTGTTTAACAAATCCTTTGCTCAGCTTCATTTCTAATTCCTTATGGGCATGTTTAGTTTGAGTATAATGTGGAATGTAATTTGACAATTGATAGTAATCTATAAGACATGATTCTGTCATAAATATTGAGTAATCGTTGAACTCATTTAATCTAATCTCATCTCCTGATACTTAAATCAAACACATTCACACGGGCCATATTTAGAGAGTCGGTGGTGTAGAATAGAAAGAGATTGTAGTTATTTCTCGCCATAATCTATTTACATCATTAAGAGAGAGAGAGGTCAAATATTCAATTGTTATGACCTACTATTTGAATGAATAAATAAGAGAGAGAAAGTGAAAGGTACCTGAAAACCCAAAAGTCAAGTATATTCTTCATCTAGTGTCAGTACTGTTTGTCCAAGTACGCATATATAGCTTGTCTTCTACTCTGTCACTACCATTTCATGATTCATGTATCATCAACCTTCTATATTACTATCTTTTTCACATTACTCCCTTGTTTTTCCTCTGCCATATTAATCCCTTTCAATAGAAGCATACTTGGATTTTCTAATGTCTATGATTTACTGTTCAAAAAAAAATATCTTTGATTTGACAATGTTAACTTTTTCATTTATAGAAAAACTTTACTTGAAAATAATCGGGAGTTACATAAAAATACAAACAAGGTAACGTATGTTACAAGAATTACCACATATAGGGAGAAATCTAGGGCGAGTAATTCACACGGGGTAGTTAATTGATAGAAAAAAATGATAAGACACGAATATGTATGTCTTGAGTTTAAGTCTCTCTAGTTCTGTATAATTTGGGTTTGACAAATACAAATGATTTGCAAGTGATTGTATATATCCCTAGATTTGTGTTATAGACATGAATTCAAAATTTAAATGCATTCTCTTATACAAAATAACAGGTATGCATGCATGGTTGCCACCACGTTGCACATAAAATTTCATGTATTTAAGAGACTACGTCCAAGAACGTCCATATCTAGCAGTTAGCTAACTTATCTTGGCTCTCTGGCTGTTTGTCTTCCTCGTCTTCTTCTTCTTCCTCTTCTTTTTTCTCACAAATTAGTCATGGGCTTACCAGCTTTGAACATGCTCATCTGCAATGGAAAGGTTTTTCTTTTGGCTCTTATTCTGTGTTATCTTCAGTTTGGTGTTTCAGAAGGGCAACTCAAAGTTGGCTTCTACTCCCAAACATGTCCCAATGTTGAGTCCATTGTCAAGACAATTGTCAGAGATGCTACGCTTACCAACCCAAGAATGGCCCCTATGTTGCTCAGGCTCCATTTCCACGACTGCTTTGTTGAGGTCTCTCTCTCTCTCTCTCTCCAAATAAAATATAAATATATATATAGACACACGCGGATAATTAGAAAAAAAAACCTTTAAAGTAACATACTAAAAAATAAATTTTCGCTGTAAATCTTATTTTTACTTCTTTGTAACTAATGATAAAGTGAAAATTTTCATTTTTTCACTTGGAAAAAATCCTACAGTGTTACTGTAACATTTCAGTACCACGGTGGGACCTAAACAAGTACATTTATAACTTTTGTGTGATTCTAAGTTGGTTTTTGTTTTTCTCTTTTTTCTTGTGTTTTCAAAGGGTTGTGATGGGTCGATTCTAATTGACAACGTGGAAGACCCAGAGAAAAGAGCATTCGGTCACCAAGGTCTTGGCGGATTTGCGGAGATAGAGAATGCCAAGGCAAAGTTGGAGGCCGAATGCCCCGGTGTGGTTTCCTGTGCAGACATAGTTGCTTTGGCTGCTAGAGATGCAATAGTCTTGGTAAGTAAATTAATATTGTAAATTTTACAAAGCACAAGTGTATAATACAAACACATAGTGGATAAGGGGTCTGTCTATGATTGTCTTTTTGTAATTATGGTAATAATTCCTACATATATCTGTAATAGCCATTGTTTGGGATTATAGTGACAGTAGTCATGTAACAGAAACGAAAATTGAATATGTATTTTTTTTTCATTCATGCCCTCCAAAAAGTCAAACATATGCATATTTTTATTTCAAAATCGCACAAATACGAGTTATTAATGCTTCGTATCATGAATTTTTGTTGTGTTAAGTACAAGATTTTAACAAGTTAAAGAGAGATATTTTATTTTTTGAGTTGTTGGCATAGAGAAACACTCGTCATTTTTTGTTTTCAACTACTTCTATGAGCATAAATTCTAGTAAAAAAAATGTTCAAACGTGAACGATAAATTTTATGTTAAAAATAAATTTCATAAGGAAAAATAACAATTGTGCAACAATATCGTTATAATCCGTTATGATCGTTAATTACAACTTGTAACAGGATCTTTACGAAGACATAATGACTCGTTATTTCCATTATTTTTTTATGACCTGAATTTGTTTTTCTATTCGTATGCATGATGCAGAGTGGTGGGCTATCTTATCAGGTTGAGACTGGCCGGAGAGATGGCCGAGTTTCCAGCGAGTCACTTGCAGCTGATATGCCTGATGTGAATGATCCCATTCAGACTCTCAAATCCAAGTTCATGAACAAGGGACTTTCCGAGAAAGAACTTGTCCTTCTCACTGGTATATAATCACTCAACTAAGTCCATAACATTGGCACCCATAACAGCAACAAAACCTATGATTTGTCTTACAATTGGGATCGGGATCGGGATCGGGATCATTTGAAGTTGGGCCAAACTTCAGAGCGTGAAATTCGATGAATACCAATGGATAGGAATAGAAATCCGCATTCTATATTTAATGAGGCCTTAGAATTTCACCAACACATTTAATCTGAAATCCTAAACTTAAAGCCTCATAATTATAGACACGACCCACAATGGGGGAAGGGATAGCATATTTATGGAAGAGTGGATACAAGTCTACATCTTTCTGAATTCTGATGGCGAACAAGTGAATTTGTCAAAGTTGTCAAGTAAATGGATTGAAACGAACCAAATTAATGCAGTGGGCCCTTACCTTTTTACGTTCTCTTATCAAACTAGGTGTAGGTATTCCATTCTGACGAGTAGTAAGTACTAAATTGTTGTGAAACATGTGAAAATTTTCAGGTGCACATACCATAGGTACCACAGCATGTTTCTTCATGTCTAAGCGACTCTACAACTTCACCGGCATCAACGACGCTGATCCAGAGATTAACCCTGACTTCCTACCATCCCTCAGAACTCAGTGCCTGATAAACGGAAACGTTAACATCCGAATACCTCTCGACGCACTGAGCAATGAAAAATTTGATGATCAGAGTTTGCGCAACATAAAAAATGGGACTGCTGTTTTAGCATCGGACGCTAGGCTATATGATGACAGCATCACAAAGCAAGTGATCGATTCCTATGTTGGCTTCTTGCGACCGGTATCTGGACCGTTGTTTGTGCAAGATTTTCCGATGGCAATGGTGAAGATGGGTCGAATTGGTGTCAAGACAGGTTTAGAGGGGGAGATAAGGCGAATTTGTAGCTCTTTTAATTGAGTTCTGGTGGCAATGATCGATGTGCTTGGTATACAATTGATACAATAACTGAAATGGGTGTTTTTCTAGTAAGTACAAAATGTTTAGATATCTTAAAACATCCGTCTAATTCTCTCAAATTCAATACTACTTTTCACTTTAATCATAAATGGAACATAATGATAGCACAGTCCTATCTCCTTATTACTCACCCTCCAACATAATGTACTTGGTTCATATTAATGTTAATATTTCATTGTTTCTTTCAGAAAAAAAAAAATAAAGGAAATCTTTATTTAAGATCAATTTCTCGAATAAAGCTTATGAATAATTTTCAAGTTCAATGAAAGAATGTACAAACGACCTTAGATAGAACATTATTACTTATGCTAACTAGGAACAATAAAATAGATATGAACATGAACTTATATATATATATATATACTAGTTATTGTTTGTGCCTGAAAGTATAGAGTAATAAAAAATGGTAAACAATAAACATATTTGTATTCATATTCAAAATTAAATCACAAACATAGATGAGAGATAAATGAATTTAAGCATCGTTTGTAGTTGGGGTGAGTGGTGATGGGCTGCAATGGTGGTAATAGAAGACAGTGATGGTTATGGTGAGTGACAATGACCATCGTGGTGGCGACCATGGCGCTGGCGGCGGTGGTGGTAGTGGTGGCGGCGATGGTGGTGGGGACGGTGGGGGTGGTGATGGCGGTGGTGGCGGCAGCGGGGTGGCGACAGTGGTGGTGGTGGTGGTGGTGATGGCGGTGGTGATAGAGGTAGCGGTAGGGCGGTTTCAAACATTATTTTTTTTTAAAGTACTTATGAAAAATAATTCGTAGAAATATTTTTAAAAAGTCACTCCAAACACGCTCTTAGAGGTCTATTTTTTCTATTAAGTTAAATATATTAATATTAGCCGTTAGATTAAGTTTAAAGTAAAATTTAAAACAATTTGAGCCGTGAAAAGCAAAAGTAATTTTGTTTAGCTTTTGAAATTTGAATTGTAAGCTATTTTATTATATACTAGTTATTATCTGTGCCTGAAAGCACAGAGTAATAAAAAAAAATAATAAATATATTTGTATTTATATTCAAAATTAAATCACAAATATAAAGAAGAGATGAATGAATTTAAGTATCGGTTTGTAGTGGAGGTGAAAGGTGATGGATGACAGTGGTGGTGATAAAAGACGGTGATAGTTATGGTGGGTGACACTGACCGTGGTGGCGGCGATGGTGGTGGTGATGGCGACTGCAACGATAGTGGTGGTGGTGGCTGTGGTGGCGGTGATGGTGGGTGGTGGTAGGGGTGGTGGAGGCAGTGGGCGTAGCGGTGGTGGAGGTGGTGGAGGCAATGGGGGTGGCGGCGATGGCAGTGATGGGAGTGGGGGCGGTGGCGGTGGTGGAGGTGGAGGTAACGACGGTAGTGGTAGTGGTGATGATGGTGGTGGTGGTGGTAGTGGCAGTGGTGGTGGTGGTGGTGATGATAGGGCGATTTCAAATATTATTATTTTTTAAAGTATCGATGAAAAATAATTTCTAAAAGTGTTTTTAAAAAGTCACTCTAAATACACCCTTATGACCTTATATTTTCTATTAAATTTAGGTATTAATATTAGTCGTTAGATTAACTTTCAAGTAAAATTTAAAACGATTTCAACCGCGAATGATAAAAGTCATTTTGTTTATCTTTTGAGATTTGAATTATAAGCTACTTTTTATATATATATATATATATATAAATTAGTTATTCTCATATTTTTCAGATAAGATCAAAAAATAATAATAATAATAATAAAGACCAATTTCAACAGGCTGAATAGGTTGTTTTTGTGGTACTTGATTCCACCTTTTTTTTTTCTTTGAATTGTCCTGAATTAACAAATTTTGAACGTTGTAATTACACCTTGTTTGTCGAAATGTGATCTACTATAATTTTTTTTTTCTGATGAATTATCTATAGAGGCGGCTCAAGAATATATGAGACCTAAAGTAATATGTCACAATGAGGTTTTATTTTTCTTTTTTTAAACTATTCTAAAATTTTAATTTAAAGTTTATTATTTTTATTTTTTGAGATTCAAAATTACAAATTAATTTTTTGTTTCTCGCTAATATATATTTTTTTAATTGATAGTATGACTTTTGAGCATAAATAGTTTGATAGGATTTTAATACATACTTCATTATTTTTGTGTTCTTCTTATTTATTTTGTATATTCTTCACCAAAATTGTGGTATTAAATAACTGACTATTATTTTAAATATATCCATTGTTATTTTTTTTAGTTTTTGATGAATTACAAAAGTGGATTTATACACTATCTGTCGTGTAATTAATGTAAGTAATAAATGCAGTAAATATAAGATGAAATGAACATAGTCAACACACAGTTATATATTAGTTCGGTCAGGGTGACCTACTCCATTTTGAAGATGGCAATGGTGACTGGTGGTCTTTATTGATAAAGTAATAGGTGAGAGAGAGAGAGAGCAAGTGTATGCTCTTGGTAGCTATAAGAGAGATACTTGTGTGTGAGAACTAGAGGTGTGCCTCTCTCATGTGGAAAAAACTTACAATTTATAAGCACAAAGTCTTAGTTGAGATGATGGCATAAAAGAAATAGGTGATTAGCTTTTCGGGGAGGATAGGTATAACTAGGATAAGTACAATTAGAGATAGTCTTAATCTTGAAGATCAGTGGCTATCTCGATGGTTGTTCCTCATGTGTGCTAATCTTCTTTGATTCATTGAACTTTGGATTGAATCGAATCCACAAGCTGAGCTTGGCTTGATTTGCAGCTAATTTGGGTTGGCTTAATTAATTAAGTTTGACCCAATAAAATTTGGACTCATCAATTTTTATTTGGGATCCTTAAAATGAGTAGTTTAGTTGATGTTTTGTACTCAAATTACAACAAAATCAAATTTGAGAAAAATGGTGAAAATGTTGGGTTTGTCTTTGTTTTTGTACACTGTACTAAGAGAGAGACAAATGCTTTTATATATATATATTTGATAGAGGAAAGTCAAAAAAAGGTCGATAATGTCAGACTTTCTTTTTTAGGATAAGAGTATGTTTCTTAATTTTGTTTATCAAATATTGTATCTTAAATAATGGGTTAAAATCATGTACCTTGACTGTTTGGTGAAAATTATTGGATTCTCTTGATCCAACCATTCCCACCTATTAAGGATTCAAAATTTGGTAAATATAACATTGCTTCTTTTTTTTTAACATTTATTTATCATTCAACAAAGGTGATTGGACTTTTGAGTTCAAAATTTAAAATTATTTAGGCCACTTTTTTTTCCTCTGTTATTAAGTTAATGCTCCGTTTGGTAGGGATGATGGAAAGTAAGAAGGATGTATTTTCTATCTTTCAAGGATGAAATATAAGAAAGATATACTTTCCTTCCTTTCTGTTTGGTTGGATGGATGGAAAATAAAAATAAATATTTTTTTTATTTTTTTTTGTGCTAACTAAGATTAGGGATGACGATCGAGTCGTGTCAGATTCGTGTTAAGTCATTATGAGTTTGTGTCGAATATTAGTCAAACCTAACTTAACTCATTTAACTAATTGTGTCATGTCGAGTTGCGAGTTGACATGTTTATTTTCGTATCGAGTTCAAGTCGTGTTGTCGTGTTGAGTTTAAAATTTTCACCCTTAGTTAAGATGGAAAAAAATATTTTTTTTAATTTAAAATTTAAAATTTTTTAATTTTTAAATTTTTTTAAAATTTATTTTTAAATTTTTTTAAAATATTGTAAGGGGTAGAACCCTCTACTAAGGATTTCGGCTTGACCTGGGTTAACCCACGCGGGCGACCCCCCAGTAGCCTTTACCTCTCTTCGCCAATAGGACCCTTTCCTAAAGCAATCCCACATCGGAAGAGAGTCGTCTCCCCCCTTGCCATATAAGTGAACACTTCCTATGGAGGAGGTACCCACTAGGCACCTACTGTGCGCAAAAAAGGAAAAAATACTCATGATTTATTTCAAGAAGAAGGGGCTTTGCGTCCCCAAAGACTACAAAAGAAAATAAAAGGGGTACAATCAAAAAGAAAAAGGGGCTATCATCTGGCTCCAGGCATCTCCAGAACATCAGCCGAGGGCGAGTCAGCAAAAAATGGTTGAGAAGCTTCTGGAGCAAGCAGGAGAGGTACTTCGGCAACAGGGAGACTTTGGGCAACTTGAGGATCAGGAGCATGGTCCGACGGGGCGTCCTCGGACAAATCCACTATCACTGCCTCGGGCGGATCCGCCGAGACTTGCACCGGCGTTGGGACCTCATCTTCGGCAGCAATCTCTGCTTCGGCCCGTGCCATCTCTGCCGAGGGCACGTACTTGTGCATTTGGAAGAGCAGAGAGTCTGACGGGATTCCAGCAGACTGGAGCGCCTCGTCCCACCCTTTCTTGAAGAACTCCTTGTTGTTTTCCTCAAGAGCAGGGAGCACGTCATCGGCAAACTCTTCCCGAAGTTGCTCCTCTGATTTTCTGTTCAGTGCCTCGGCTCTGATCCTGTCCAGCTCCTGGGTGAGAGCCAGACAGCTTTCCTCTGAGCCTACCGCCCTCTCCTCCGCAGCAGATAGCCGCCGCGTCTGCTCGGTAATCCTCCCCTCAGCATCGGCAAGGGCAACACTTAGCTTTTCAGCGCCAACCTTAGCCGACTCGGCATCCTTGAGGAGTTGCTCAATTTGAGCAGCCTGCCCCACCAGGGTAGAGTCCCTGGCAACTACATCCTCCATTGCTCGGGCGAGGGCCCCCTCCGCCTCCTCCTTCTGCTCTCGGGCCCTCTGGAGGTCCATCCTAGACCCGTGATACCGGGCAGCTATTATGGATATCTGCTGGGTAGCCTACAAAGGAGGGAAAAAGGTGTCACAAAAATGGAAAGCAAGAGAGAAGAAACCAAAGCAAAAATGAACTTACCACAAGAGAATTCTGGATGATGGAGCGGAACAACACGTTCGTTGAACGCCCCCTGTGAGCCGCCATGTCAGCCTCGAAATGCAGTGTCTCACTCACTGCATTGGCGACATGAGGATCCAGCAAAATGGAATCATCGACCCTGATCACTCGGTTCATGTGATCAGTGGCTCGGGGATTCCACTCCGCGACCTCCACTGTTGGCGGAAGGGAAGGGGGAGTCTGCTGCTGCTGTTGTTGCTGTTGTCGTGGCTGTTGCTATTGCTGCTGTTGTGGAGGAGTAGGGGATAACCCACGGCCTCTCCCGCTTTGCTGCTGAGCGGAAGGTGCCCTGGATCCCCGGCCGAGGCCATCGTGCCGGTGTTTGACCCTTCTCTCCTCCTCTACCTGAGGGTCCCGGTCACGCACTTGACCCCGGCTGAGAACTCTTGGGGTGGAACTGGTCCCTGCAGAGGGGGCGCCGCCGGTCGATCCTCGACCCCTCCCGGCTGCGAGGGCTTGCCTCTGCCTCAGGAACCCCAGGTCGATGCGAGGCGTGCTGGACATCGCGACCTCGAGGGCGTCCTCGGCGTCTAAGGATTGAAGAACTTGGAAGTCTGGCCACAAGTCTCCTCCCGAAGTCCCCACCTCGGCGTCCGAAGGAACAACGTCCTCTTTGACCCCGAGCTCTTCAGCAACTCCCTCTACCTCTGCCTCCGAAGCCCGATCCGGGTCTTCCTCCAAGTTTTCCTCAACCTCTAACCTCGCCGCCTGATCGAAGAGTTCAGACCACCGCGAAGGCTCAAAAGGCTGAGGAAGCTGTGAAAATTTCTTATACCCGGGGGTATAATTCAGTAGGATGTGGGCAGCCCGGCCAAACCCGTTGTCACCCGTGAATCTCCAAACCGTGATTAGGTCGGCAAAGTTCACCAGCGACCGAGGGGGAGGAGTTGTTTCCCGAGCAGGAATATCTGCACAAACAAAAAAGTAGTCATGAACATGGGAAGCCTGGATAAAGAAATAATAAACCCAAAGAACCGACGTACTTGTCGTTCTCCATTCCAGAGGGCATAACAAGTCATTATACTCGGAACCAACACCTCTCTGCCAAGATCCCTTGAAGATAAGAATATCATCCTTGTACCCCTTGTCCGAGTCGGGAAGATGAGTTACAAGGTACATGGAGGGGTCTTTGGCTTTGAGGTAGAAGTGTTGGTGGGGCATGACTCTCAAGAGGGAATAACAAAAAAGGAGATCGTTGAGCCCAATATTTACCTCGAGGCGCCTATTGAGCTCTAAGACCCCCATAATTATTCGGAAAACATTAAGGCAACATTGCCCGGGAAAGAGGCGAAAGTGAGAAAGGAACTGAAGAAGTAAGGGGGTAAAGGAAACCTAATTCCTCCCTCAATTATGGCCTTGGTATAAAACGGCATGGCATCCTCGGTCCCGAGGGTAGAAGAGTGCACCACTGGGTCATAATCCTCTACGTCTATGCACGGGGGAATGCCGTACTTGACCTTAAACCTATCAATCTGCTCACCACCCTTTACTTTGTATTTCCCCGACCCCGAAGAACCAGCCTGAGGATTCTCGGGAGCAGGGCGACGACGAGGCATCTCTAAAAAAGTGAGAAAGAAGAGGGTATTTTTGAAAATCCCTGAGGACGTTTCCCGAGGGTTTATCGCTATGTATCAACCGGAGACACCTCCAGTTATCGGAAAACAAAAGGATAGGAGGAAGAAAAGGAGGAGGATTCTGAAACTCACCCGAATATCAAAACGGAGTTTTTTTCTGGAAAACCTTAAAGCGACTCCTTCCAGAAAGTTCAGAAGCAACGATGAGTCTGCTGGCTTTAAGACTTTAAGGAAGAATGGGCAGTCGACGATGGAAGAAGAAACAAAACTCCGGCGAAGATTCAAGAAGAGGCTCTCTTGAGGAAATTCGGAATGGCAAAACAAGGAAAACGGAAGAGGAGCCCCCTTTATATAAAGGCAATTTTCATCATTGGGCGCGAAAAATGAAACGACGCATTTAATGCGCACGACATCCCAAGCCGGAAAAAGCGGCTCGAGGCAATGATGAAGCACTGGTGGTTGTTGGGAAACCCTTCGTCTCCTTACGACGCGTGTCCTCGGTGTCAGAAGATCGAAGGCTGGGGGGCAGTTAATGGGACTTTTCTGAAATACCCTATGATGAAGACACGTGTCCTCGGTTTACTAAAACACTGTTGCTAAGATCAAGCACCATCGGCGCACAAAGGTCCTCGCTCCCGAGGTACCCGTCATATGGGATCATGCATTCAGTATGTTTTACAACCGACACGTGGCCTCAGTCTGATATGGTACCTCGGTCGGCATACCTCCCTCGGTACCGAGATGAGCCTTTCCTCGGTGCCGAGAGGTACCCCCGTCCTTGACGCTTCCTTTACTCCAAGATAAGCTATTGACGTACAGGTCATTAGCCTAGGCTAGTCTAGGCTATTCATCATGACCTCGTCTTACACAATTAGTGTCATAATGTACTGGAATGCAGGGCTCACAGCCAATAAGGGATGGACGCGTGGCATATGATATCACATCGAAGACAGAGAAACCGCATGCCGTTGCTGACACGCGACTTGGGAAAGCAAACTATTAATTACACCATTCCCTTGATGAGACCGCATTCAATGCGGTAAGGCTCGGAAATGAAAGACAATAAATGCTCTTAATACAGAGCATTTATTGCATCCTCCCCGAGAGGAGTACAATGTACCGTCGGCATCCCGATGACCCAGCATTGATTGCTCGGGACCCCGAGCAGTTAAGAAGAAAAGACATTCCTCATCAGAATCAGTGCGCACACTGCCTGTACCTAATGATCACCCACTAACGACCTGATCAGGTGCCTAGTGGGTACCTCCTCCATATGAAGTGTTCACTTATATGGCAGGGGGGGAGACGACTCTCTTCCGATGTGGGATTGCCTTAGGAAAGGGTCCTATTGGCGAAGAGAGGTAAAGGCTACTGGGGGGTCGCCCGCGTGGGTTAACCCAGGTCAAGCCGAAATCCTTAGTAGAGGGTTCTACCCCTTACAGAAAGACGCCTTTTTTGTAAGGGGTAGAAATCGCTACGGATCTCATCCCTCCACTTGAAGGATTCCGGCTGACCTGGCGGCACCGAACCCCAGTAGCCTTTACCTCTCTTCGCCAATAGGACCCTTTCCTAAGGCAATCCCACATCGGAAGAGAGTCGTCTTCCCCCTGCCATATAAGTGAACACTTCCTATGGAGGAGGTACCCACTAGCGACCTGATCAGGTGCCTAGTGGGTACCTCCTCCATAGGAAGTGTTCACTTATATGACAGGGGGGGGAAGACGACTCTCTTCCGATGTGGGATTGCCTTAGGAAAGGGTCCTATTGGCGAAGAGAGGTAAAGGCTACTGGGGCTCGGTGCCGCTAGGTCAGCTGGAATCCTTCAAGTGGAGGGATGAGATCCGTAGCGATTTCTACCCCTTACAAATATATATACATATTTTATCATTGTATTTTTATATGAAATTAATGTATACATAAAATATATAGATAAATAAGATATATCTCAAAACAAATAATTAACTTTCCATCCATTTTGCTTTCGATTTTGGATGAATTAATTTTGGTGAGTTGGAAGAAAAGTTAGTTCTTCCACTTTTCCATCTTTCCTACTTTCCTTCTTTATCAAACATGATTTTTTTTTTATCCCTTCAACTTTTCATACTTTCAACTTTCTATCCTCCCACTTTTTCATCGTTCCAAACGAAGTATAACACTGATTGTCTATTCTATATTAAAGTGAAACTCATTGTATTCAAGTGAATCCCTTATTTATCAATAATAAATAACTGTTAAAAAAATAGAGAAAAAAATAATAGAAGAAATTTGACTATAACTATTGGAGAAATGTTATTTATACTTAAAAAATTGATATAATTTGTTAACTTGATGAATCATAATTATTGAATAGGTCGTTAGTCATAATAAATACTAGGACTCAGAAGTAAATTAATAAAAATAATTGATTAAGTTAATTTTCAAATCTATGTGGCATTGCTCTGACTATTATTCATGTTCCATTTTAATCAATAAATTCGATATGACTATACTCATTTTCATCAATTGGTTGATAGGGATCTGAGTCCGACCCTGACCCTGATCCTGACCAAAACATGTAAAACATGGGCCATCCTTCTAATACCTGACAGCCATATAAAACGACACCGTTCCACTGTTATTCCCATCGTCTTCCCCACTGAAACAATCCCAACGATCCTTCCCCATTCCCCACAGTTCACACCTCACTCTCTGAATCACTGAAAAAATGGGAAGCATAAACAACAAGGGCAGACTATTTGGACCTCAACACCATACAACGCCCTGCACCCGCACTCACCAGATCGGTGCCCTAGCCCTCATAATTGTCACCTTCTTCGTCACCAGACTGTTCGATCAGTCATCATTGAACTCTTGCTCCTACTTTTCATCTTTCAGTGATCAATACGGGTCCAGGAACGACGTCGTTCGGTTCTCCGGCGGTGGAAGTGGAAATTCCATCTCGTGGCCCCACAGGGGGTATGGGTCCCACCTGTCCCTGAAGATCTACGTCTATGATGAGAACGAGATCGATGGGATCAAGGAATTGATGTACGGACGGGACGGGAAGATCTCGGCTGGGTCTTGTCTCAAGGGCCAGTGGGGAACTCAGGTAATATTCGTTAATTTTAGGGTTTTAATTCTTCACATCAATGGTGAATTGTAGTGGTTTTTTTTTTGCTTTCTTTCTTTATAGAATTGGTATGATTAATGTGCATGAAGAAGTGGGATAAATATCTGAAGTCATTGTTTTGCTTTGAAGTTCAGCTGTATTTTGGTTACTTCGAATTTTTTGGGCGTAGTTTATGTGAAACTATGATTTTCTTTTCTCCCAGTTTGCTGGAGAATTTTGCGTATTGTCCTTGCAGTTTGAAGAAATCAACGGGAGAAGCAGAAAATAACAATAAAATGATTAATGTTCTGTGAAATGTAATTTATGAGATTTTTAGTTTAAATGTATATTTATGTTTTTTGTGTGTGTAGGGTTACGTTTTGGAATTTACGAAAGTTGTTTCTTAGTGTTCATATATGTTCTTCAAAGAGTAAAATGAAAGGTTTGCCTAAGCTCAGTCCTGTTGTTGCATTAAACTTAGTGGGTAGTAGATATGTTTCGCAATTATTTTTGCGGCAATGTAAATTTAATGTGATTTTCTGTTAGCAATAGATGGTTTTAAATGGATATTTTGTTTTTGTTCTTAGTTTTTAATATGATTTGTAGGTAAAAATACACAGGATGCTTTTGCAATCGAGATTTCGTACCCGGAAGAAAGAGGAAGCTGATCTGTTTTTTGTGCCGGCTTATGTTAAATGTGTCCGCATGATGGGTGGTCTCAATGATAAAGAGATCAACACTTCTTATGTGAAGGTAATACAATATTTGAATGGTCGAAGTAACTTCTTCTGCCACAAAATTTTCATAATGTAATTTTTTTCTTCGGTGATTGTTACTGATATTGATGTGTGATTGGGACATAGATATAAGCCTATTTTAATTCTTTTTAACAAATGGAGACGTATCAATTATGATTGATTTGCAATTTTGTTATGAATAATAATAATCTATTTAATATTATAGCTAAAAAATGGAATTCTCAATTTATAAAAGTATAACAATGATTAAGATTGATTCAATTTTTATCTATTTTGATCTAATAATACAAAATTCATCATAAAATATTTTTTTCCACTCACAAGCATCATCTTCTCTACACAGTTTTCAATGTTAGACAACTCAATCAAGACACTGTCCAAAACCAAACGATTCGACTTATCCACACGTATAACATCTCTCTCCTCTCTTCTTGATCTCTTTCTTATTTTTGTTGTTTATTTTTATTTTAAATTACGTAATTAAAAAAGTAAATTTCTATTTAAAATGTAAATCTTACACGATAAATGCTTGATTTTTAGTATTGAAGAGGGGTTATTGCTAGTGGGTTTATATCAGTTGGTTGTTTTTATTAAATATAGCCCTTGCAAAACATATTTAAAATAGTAATGTTATCACCTTTTGCTTTCAGGTGTTGAGTCAAATGCCCTATTTTAGGTTATCTGGTGGACGCAACCATATATTCGTCTTTCCAAGGTATATTCATTTGCATAAAAAAAATTAGTTATATGTGTAGTATATGTCATTTAACCTGCACGGTTTGGATGAGAAACTAAGAACTCTAAAATTGGGTGTGCATTTCTAGAGGATTACAAAGATTTTACATTGAATTTAAGCTTAGGCCTGAGGAATGTTTCTTCTTTTCTGCTTTCTTTTGAATTCCATTTGAGGAAAAGTTACTGGACAACAGCATATACTAGGCTGTGAACCCAGAAATCTCACTACCATAATAAAAAGTTGAGATCTCTACTGTTGAATGACATTCGCCCTCCCTGCTCTGCCTCCAAACAAATAATGTAGGGGCTGTTGAACCCAGTTGACCCTCTACGTTGCCTTTGTTGTGGTTGAAGAGTTGATTATATGTGTATGACCTTGTAGTTCGTGTTGACTGGCAACATTTGTATGTTCTTTTTCTTTTATTCATCTTCCGTAGCTTTGGTAGACTTCTTTTCACCCTGCTTGCTTATTTTCACTGAATTGCAGTGGCGCTGGAGCTCATTTGTTCAGATCCTGGGCAACCTATTTGAATCGTTCGATTATTCTTACTCCCGAGGTATTCTTGTTAATAACAGATCATATGTGCTTTTATTGAGGGAAAATGAAGGAAAGAAAGAAAACATAAGAAGTGAAGAACACATAGAGCTTATACCAGCTGGATGAAAGTTTGTTTTAGTGACTTTCTGTGTTGTAAATAATCATGGAGTTCATGCCATCTGTTTACTTTAAGCATACTTTGGAAACACAACAACTATAGTCATACGTCCACTTGAAAGAAGAGGCATAAGTTGTGATTTTCAAAATGTCTTCATATATTAGTATATTACTACTGATAAAGTGGGCAAATTAAATTATTAACACTAAGACTTTCCTTGGTGGTATTTTGGGAGTATCTCAACTCAAACTAACGTCAATCAAACCTGCTTCCAACGTCAATTCTTGTCCATGATGTTAAAATTTGTCTTATCAAAAAAAAAAAAAATTGATGTTAAAATTGTGAGAAGTGAATCTAAGAAACCCCTCAATATTTTTCCCCAGTGGTCCTTGTGCTGAGATGGCCTATATAAGTGTGGCATATAGTATTACTGAAGATCTGGTGAAGATAGTGACACCTCAATCTTCATGCATTTTGTGTGGATTGTAGAGCAATGTCCTAAATACATTAATTGGATTATCAATTTCTACATAGCATACAACAACAGTTTGCTTAGTCCTGGGGATTCCTTTTTTTGGGTCTTAGCATATTGAATTTTTCAATGAGTCGTCATACTTCTATTTCTTCTATAAAGGAACATGTTTAAATGTTTAAACTTGTTACATCGAGTGCATGGTATAGTCCAGCTTTTCTTGTTTAGGATCCCTTGGTGATTCTATGCCTGTAGGTTTTGATTGAAAATTATCCTGCATATTGTCTCACCTGAAGAATGTTTGTCTATTTGAAAATGCAGGGGGACCGAACAGATAAGCGAGACACTAGTGCCTTCAATACATGGAAAGATATCATCATACCTGGAAATGTTGATGATGGGATGACTAGTCATGGGGTTAGGCTGCTCGAGCCTTTGCCTTTATCAAAGAGGAAGTATTTAGCGAACTACTTAGGTCGAGCACAAGGGAAGGTTGGTCGTCTTCAGTTGATAGAGCTTGCAAAGCATTTCCCAGACAAGGTATGTCTTTCAGCGACTCAATGATTGTCTTCTAGGAAGTTGTCTAATTTGCTGATTTTTGTGGAGGGTTATGTCTATCTTTGGCTTGGAAAATGGATGATGTCCTTTTTCTTTGGGAAAAAATAAGAAGTCCTTCAGGAAAAAAAAAAAAAAAATTCAATCCAAAACCCCACAAAAATAATGCCTCCATCCAAAAGCCACAAAGGCTGAAAGCTTCTCCAAATACATCAATGTTCTTGTTTGCTTTATTATTACACTACCTATATTTCCTCCGGAAGATAGGTGTATTGATTCTATAAACAGTTGGAATCTCCAGAGTTGAAGTTTAGCGGCCCTGACAAACTGGGGAGGACAGAATACTTTGAACACCTCCGCAATGCCAAGTTCTGCCTGGCTCCGCGCGGCGAATCATCATGGACGCTTCGCTTCTACGAATCCTTTTTTGTGGTCTCTCTCTCTCTTTCTCATGCACGCACTTACCCTCATTCACTCACATACTACCATGTTGGGGCTTTAAAATCATACAACTGTTTTTGCTTAACAGGAGTGTGTGCCAGTGATCTTATCAGATCAATCAGAATTGCCTTTTCAGAATGTCGTTGACTACACCCAGATATCAATCAAATGGCCATCCACTCGAATAGGTCCCCAGCTTCTGGAATACTTAGAGTCAATACCAGGTGGAATTTCAGAACCCCAGTTGTATCTTTCTATGTTTATTATGATCCACGAGTTAACGGCTAACAGCTCGATTGCTTCTCAGATCAAGATGTAGAGATGATGATTGCCCGGGGTAGAAATGTGAGGTGCTTATGGGTTTATGCTCCGGAATCAGAACCCTGCTCTGCATTCAATGCAATTATGTGGGAACTGCAGAGGAAAGTGAGGCAATTCCACCAGTCGGCTGAGACATTCTGGCTGCACAATGGATCTATAGTTAATAGAGATTTGTCTGAATTCAACAACTGGAAGCCACCCATGCCTTTACCTTGACAATGGTTTGGAAGATTATTTGAGTCCCAATACTGTTTATTTGCAGTTGTTTCAGATCCATTTTACTTTAACCAATTTTCTTATGCCCTCCAATCTCATTTTTATCGTCTTGTATCAAGTTGTAAAGAATTTTTTCGGCTATACAGAATTTTTGTTTCCTTGTTACACGCAGGTAATGTATACAGAAAAATGATACCAGTATGCCATTTCAAGCATGAGTTGTGTACAATTTTTATCATTTTCTTCATCTTTAACTTCTTTCTTGATACAGCTTAACTCGACTTTTACTTTTATAAAAGCATATCTAGATCCCTTTCAAGTCGAAGATGGGAATTTGCTAGGAAATGTGAGACTTGTCCGGTGGACCTAGGATAAACTCACTACAACTCTTTTTTTTTTTTTGGGTACGATGGATAAAGGTGTTTAAGTTAATTTATGTATTTTGATTAATCTCCTCTCCAGTCCAATTAAAAAACAAACAATCTATATCCCTTGCCAATGGGGAATTCACTCCCGGGTCATCGCTCTATTGCGTCTACCCCGTCCTCTAGGCACCTTTGGAAGGCAGGGAGTGTGACAACGTGCACGCTTCTTTTGACTTCATAGGGCCTTCTCATCAGTTTACAGGGTTTGGTGGGCCAAAATTGACTTGACTTCGCCAAAAAGCCTTATCTCTAAAAGCCCGGCTCATGAGGCGTCCCTCTTGCAATAGGGTTCCAAATCTCGCCTCGCTCTTGTGACATGCTATATTTTTCCTCTCTATTCCCAAGTAAAGGGTGAGTACCATGCGTTAGTTTGTGGATCGCAATCTCACACACTAATAATCTCTACAAGTGCCCGTAGTAGGCCGGCCGCCTTACCTAAACCAATCATCATATTAGTCCCTAGGCCCCATTGCTGGAAAGGCTCTGCTTCAAAACCTTACGTGGAACTTCTGCCTCATACGCCTCCTGGAGGGGCTCCTCTAGGGATGGAGGTAGGCCCAGCCCAACTCACACTTGTGCGATTAAGATTGTTGTACACGACCTCATATGAAAAAAATGAAAAAAAAAGGAGTTGAGTGGAAACATTCAACACTAATGCTAAAAAAAGAAGAAAGAGTCTCTGTCGGTTGCGCTTGTAACAAGTGCCTAGCTCAACTCCAAAAATTGACGAAAAACTCTTCATAATAAAGTACTGTGCATCTTTCTTTTAAAAGATGAGAACACGTCATTTACTAATAGAAGGTAAGATAAAAGTAAAAGTGAAACTACGAGTTAAACGCAGGTGTGATGTTAAAAATTGTCAAAATTCGAATTTAGAAAGTCTTGATTTACATTTCGTCGTTGTCATCACTTGAGACGTGCAAGATTTGTAATTATTTACTGATCATTCATATTTGTTGATTTCAAAATTTATGTGACCAAATATTTCAAATTTAGAATGATGAATTTACTATTCATTATTGATAAGAGTACTAAATCAATTAGTAGAATAAATAGAATAAACCACTAAATTTGCCAAAAAAATACACCAATTTTTTATCAAATTTTACCACCTGACACCATCTCCGACTATAAAAAGAAGAGAACTCATAAATATTGAATGAAGATAATTTTACCACGTCTTTTGTTAAGATAAATTTGGTGAAAATTTTTGAGGATTGTCTTTACTGTTAATGGAAAGACATATCAGCGGTGTTAATTTTACCCATTAAGACTAATCTGAGCCGTACGACACAAAAATAATAAGAAACAACAGGTTTGACACTGTAACTGATCTTCAGCAAGGTGGTCACCTATATGTGGCACGTATGAAGTTAGAATGTGGGGAAGGTAATCCAAATGCAAAGCTAAAACCACGTCCACAAGAGCCAATCATTTCTAGACCATTCTCCCCTCAGGTAGAAATCCACCTTTTCAACTCTAACTAGGGAAGAGTTGATGATATTATATTAGCTTTCTTGGTGACACAAGAAAACCCACAAACTTCCTAATCTCAATTTCTGCTATTGAGTCTTCTTAAAGTTGCAGAGAGTGAGTATATCACCATCTCTCTTAATTCTCTCTCCCACTTTTTAAAAATTGAGAGAAATGGGAACAATTGTATACAGCACCTGTTGTCTTTCTTGGAAAAACATCCAGCAGAAAATTCCTTTTTCCCATGTGGATGCTCATTTTGCACCTAAAACGGGGCGTTCAATTACAAAAGCTGTTGTAGCCTCTTCAAGAGAAAATGGCTGTGTGGATGAAGAGAGTGAGAGATTTTCTGGGTTTTTGAAGAGAAGGTCGGCTATAGTTTCTGGGGTGTCCTTGATTTCTTCTGCAGTTTTGGGTTTTCAAGGAGAGGGATTGGCAGTGGTGAAACAAGGTCTTCTGGCAGGGAGGGTACCTGGTCTCTCTGAACCAGATGAACAAGGTTGGCTTTCATGGTATTTTGCTTTAGTTCATGAAAGCATATTGTTTTTCTTTCTTTCCTATTTTCGTTTTTACCTAGGAACATAGGGGATGATAGATTGCAGAGTAAAAATCAGTTCATAGTTTGATCTTATTGTGAATGAAGGAAATATGTTCTCTAATCCTTTCCCTTCCCTTCTTTAGAATTTGATGAACTTAAAAAGTCACTATTAATCTCTCGTGACATACTGAAGAATCTCGAAAAAAATAAATCTAAAAAGAAGAACAGGTGAATTTTCCTGATCAAGCATAGATTGCTATACGTAAGTAGGTTTCTTGAGCTCAGCAAAATGTTGCACTATAATGACTTAGATGTCAGGAAATCAGCCTTACTGCAGAATAAGACAGCATAAATCCGACCCTTTCCAACTGAAAATCTCGTGCATTGGGCTATTTTTTGTAGATGTCTCGAAGTTATGTACTGATTATAATGTTTTAAAGAGAGAATATGTTTCAATCTCAGTGATTCGAAAAGAGAGAAAAAAAAAAAAAAGTCTTCCTGTTCCATATCTTCTCTTGATCAGTATGTAGGCCTAGCCCCGTCTAGCTTTGGAATACTTTTCTGTCCAATTTAAAGTTCCATGATTTTGGAATTCAGTTTCCATATGTTGGAAACATTAAACAGTTCATCATATCACTCTGCAGAGATTTGTAAATTGGTTCTGCCCCTACGCCATGAGGGTTAAACCATGCACAGACTAACTTTCTAGACTTGTTTTTCTGCATGAAACTCTTTAAGATGCTTTCCTCATAATTCTGGTTGCAAGTATATTGGCACCTTCACTAGCAAAGAAACTGCTCAGACAGGTTGGAGGACATACAGAAGACCAGATGACAAGTCAGGAGGCCATGGTGTCGGATGGAGTCCTATCATTCCTTATGTCTTTAGGGTGCCTCAAGATTGGGAAGAGGTAATGATCCGTTTTGATTGACTCAATGATGACCTCTTAGTTTTTTTTTCCATGGTAGACGATGAATTCAAAAGGGGCTCAGTAGAAGTTATACCCGAGTGTTTCTGAGCTGGATGTTTTCCGAAGTTTTTTTTTTTTTGTTTGTCTGATGTCCGACCACTTCCTCAAGTTTTCTAATAACGGGTTTACCTGTGAGACAGGTTCCTGTATCCATTGCAGATTTAGGAGGTACAGAGATCGATTTGAGATTTGGTAGCCCAAAAGAAGGACGCCTGTTTGTCATTGTTGCTCCTGTTCTGAGATTTTCAGACGGTGAGTTCTCCAATTTTTCTTTCTTGTCCTCATTATGATTCTGCAGTTTGGAAGAATAACTTGGATGTTTGGACTTGGTTCTAAGTTTAAAACTTTTGATTGTTTGTGTTATGATGTACAGATCTTGGTGATAATGCTACAATAGAACGAATTGGACCTCTGGATAAAGTGATTAATGCATTTGGGCCGGAGGTAATCGGGGAGAATGTAGACGGGAAGGTATTGAGTGCTGAAGTAACAGAACACTCTGGAAGAAAATATTATCAGTATGAGTTAGAGCCACCTCATGCTCTGATCACAGCAACTGCAGCAGGGAATCGCCTCTACTTGTTCAATGTAATTGGAAACGGTAAAGAACCTATCCAACTCCCACAGAATTAATGCCAATAATCTCAGCTATAGCAAATAATTAAATAATGAAATGCATTTTGGTTACTGCAGGTCTCCAATGGAAGAGGCACTACCAGGACTTGAAAAGAATAGCTGATTCTTTCAGGGTAGTTTAATTGGGGGATTATCTCCGAAAGTGTGATAGCACAATTTCTACAGCATTGTATACAACAAAGAAACAAAAGTGCCTGCATATGCGGTTGGCCTCAGATAAAAAAATACGTATTGTGTATTCATATCAAATCATCCTGATAAATTATAAGATACAGAGGTTCAATCTCCAGTTTGTACACCTCCCCCTCCCCCCCCCCCCCCCTCTCTCTCTCTTTTCAGGTTTTACAATTTTGCTTTCTGATAAGTGCTACGTTAAACAACTTTCCAATCACTTCACTGCTGTGCATATCATGGTTCAGATGGGGTCTACTGCTGCCTCATGCAATTTACATTTCTTAGGTATATGGAGTCCACTCACTCACCAGTTTCAGATGAATCATTTTTCAAAAGCAGACTGGCCAAGTAGTACTGATTGAAAGCTTATCTTGGTGGTGTTGGGCATGGGCATCAATGAACTGCGCTGCGCCCAGGCGTTTTTTGAAACCCTTTATTCGACATGTCCATCCTCATTCTTTCAGCCTTCTCCCAGCTATCAGAAGCTGCATAAATGTTTGACAGCAACACATGATGTGATTCTTGACTGGAACCTTTTTCTGAATTTTGTTTGCAAACCTCTTTCACTACCTTGTCCGCCAAATTGGTGTCCATGTGAATACGACATGCTCCAAGAAGAGCCCCCCAGATGGTGTCATTTGGTTTCAATGGAATTTTCTTGATCAAATCATAAGCCTCCTCTAATCTCCCTGCTCGTCCCAAAAGGTCAATTAAGCACCCATAATGCTTGATGCTGGCTGTTACACCATATTTCTCCACCTTAGAGAAAGTTTCTAAGCCCTCCTTCACAAATCCGCCATGTGCACAAGCAGATAGAACAGACAGGAAGGTTATATCATTGGGTTTCTCACCCAGGTTCTCCATTCTGCCAAAGAACTCAATAGCTTCTTTGCATTGACCATGAATGGCAAAACCTGAAATCATAGCATTCCAACAAGCATCATTCTTATATGACATTCCTTCAAAGATCAATCGTGCATTGCCTAAATCCCCGCATTTTGCATACATGTCAACCAACCCGTTGAGAATGAACTGATTAAGTTCAATCCTCTTTTGGATTATCATTTGATGTATTTCTTTACCGACATCCAATAAACCTGACTGAGCACAAGCAGATAAAACACTTGTCAATGTAACTTCATCAACCTCGAACCCTTCAGCTTGCATTTCTGTAAAAGCATCCAGAGCTTCCTCACAACACCCATTTTGTGCATACCCAGAAATCAATGAATTCCAATTCACTAAATTCCGCCTCGGAATTCTATCAAATATTACCTTAGCCTCTTTCACATCACCTTTCTTGAAATACCCAGAAATCATCGATGACCAAACATAGAAATTCCGCTGTGGCATCGCCTCAAAAACCTTTTTAGCAGCCTCCATATCCCCATTACTGCAATACCCATCAACCATCACACTTGATGTAACAACGTTCCTCAACTCAAACGGAACTCTATCAAAAAACTGCCTAGCAATTACCATGTCTCCCAGCTTAGCATACCCATCAATCATTTCAATCCAAGTCACAGCTGTTCTCATTGGCATCTGCTCAAACAACAATGAACCCGATTTTGTATCACCATTTCTCATGTACCCCCCTATCATTGCATTGCATGTCACAACATTTCTCACAGGCATATAATCAAACACTCTACGTGAATCAGCAATGTTTCCACATTTTGCATACATATCAACAATTGAAGTCCCCACCAACACATCAAATTCTGCCCCAGCTTTGATTGATTCACCATGTAAAGCCTTTCCATAATTAAGGCTTGAGAGTGAAGCACAAGCTTTGACTAGTAATGGGACTAAACCAAGAATAAAAGTTCCAGCACAGCGAATTTGAGTATAGATAAGAAGGGCGTCTCTGGATGCACCTTGAGAGATGCAATGTTGTATATGGTAAGACCAATTTGATGGGTTTGGTATGCTTTTCAAGTTCGAACTTTGTATGGGGAAACTGGATTGTGAGAGGTTTCGGCTTTGGTAGTTTTGAAGTTGTTTTGAAGACAGATACAGAATGTCATTTGAAATCGTACATCCAAATCAACACTGCCACGCTCTGTCAGCCCAGGGCTATTGATCAATCTAGCTTGTCAAGTTTGGCTTGAGTTTAATTTAGGTTCGTTCAATTTTTAAATGAGTCTGAATTTAAATAAATTTTTAGATTAATTTAAAAAATCAGCCCCATAAGTTCGACTTAAATTCGATAAGTTCAACTCTTTTATATGTATATACTCGGGTTCTATTTATTTTTGATTTGTTTAGGTTCGACTCGTTTATGAAACGAATCAAACTTGAATAATTTTTTAAATTTAATTAAAAAATAAAATTTTCAAGTTCCACTCAAATTCGACTCAGGCTTGTTTGACTAACGCCCTAGCTCTGACCAGGCCACATTGGAGGCTACTTAAAATTCAAGCATGTTTTTGCATTTCAAATTTTGGTTCAGATTTAAGTAAGATTTCAACAGACACCACAAAATTTGCAAAATTAGTAAGGAAGCTAGATTACACAGAATTTGAGCCTTACAGATGGTTTAGTCATTAACCATGACCTCTAGGTCTTTGGTTCAACACTTCTTATATTTTTAAAGATCAATTATTATTGTTTTTCAAGAGATATGTTTTAAATTCGTTCAGGCTACGTCGGTTAGTATCCAAGTTCGAGAGAGTAGTATGCTCAAGCTTAAACATAAGGGTGTTAAAATATGACACGATTCGTTAACATGACACAAAATTAGAAAGTTTGATTTTTTCTTAAGCTATTCATTTCGTAAATAAATAGCTTTGATCCGACATAGTTAATAAACAAATCAATTATTAGTGAAACTAATCATAAAAAATACAATTCTCTCATATAATATTATGGAGAAGCTACTTTGCTGCCCACTGCTACTAAATCTGCACCAAATCTTTGGAAATCAAGTTATTTCATAAAACAAATGAGACAAACTAATGAGTTTTTTGACTAATAGTATTTTTTATTTTGTAAAAATTTTATTTTTTAGAGGTTAAGAGTTCTAGACCTCCTCCCTTCTTGATATTATTCCTCTCCCCCTCCCCCCAAAAGAAAACAAATGAGACAAGTTTCAGTTGAGCTACGTTGAATAATATCAAACTTAAAAATCAAACTTCAGGATAATCGGAGTACCAAATTCCATATTTGTCTCCTGGATAAAAAGGAAGTAGACTATTGTTCATGATTTCATTTTTTTTTCTCCCATTTGTTTATTTTTTGCTAAAAATGTTGACTCTGAAATTAATCTCTTTTTAATTGGCCTAGTAATTTCAGGTAAATGACATCAAGAACTAGGAGTAATCCAATGCTACAGTAATATGTCACTTACTTCTAGTTACTGTCATCAACCAAATACAATGCTTCTGGATAAGTTGTTAAGAGCAACTTCATAGGGCTCGTTAAACTAAACGGGAGCGGCTCCTCTGCGGTAACCCATTTACCGCATGATATGCGGTTAAATGGGACGGTGGCGTTTCAGATATTTTTTGTATATATTTTTTTTATTCTTCCTCACCAAAAACGGTATCGTTTTTTGCCCAATAAATCACCTTCAGACCCCTTCCTACGCATGCTTTCTGTCCCTCTCTCTCTCCAATTACTAATCTTCTTCCTTCCCTTGTCTACTACGAAACCCGTCAATGCACTGAGAAGATCACATCCTCCCCTTCCTCCAATCCACAGTCTCGTCCAGGGAGCTTCCAAGTCTCTCTATACTGACTTCATTGATTATCTACATTGATAAGGATTTGTGGTTTTTCCAGAATCTACAGGATCAACTACTTGCCTTTTCCCTTAGATCTCTGTAATCCAATTCCAGCATGCTTACATATATTTCTGTCTATTCCTTTTATATTTCTGTTCCTGATGAAAATGATGACACAAGTCGTAGACTCGTCCTTCCCACCCTCCACCTGTTTGAGAAAATGCCAGAAAGAACTCTCTTTCAAATTTTTGTGGACTGAACTCTCAGATTTTGTTAATTGAAATTTGGCTAAACTCTCTTTCAGATTTTTGTTCTATTGAATGGGCTGAACTCTCAGATTTGGTACATTGAAATTTGGCTTCGATTTCAGATAGAGATGTGGATTGAACTCTCTTTCTTTTTCTGCTGTGAATCAAAATTTGTCTTCGATTTTTGCTATGGTGAATCAAAATTAAATTCAATCGAATATTTTGCTGCTGTGAATCAAAAATTGAATTCAATACTATGAATCAATTTTTTTTTTAGTCAGAAATGAATGAGTTGTGATGGCAATTCATAATGAATATTTTGCTGCTGTCCTTTCCTGTTTACTGCAACCTCATAAAAATAAAAGTAAGATTGCACTTATGAAAGTTCTAGCTTTGCTGCTCATTCAGGCTTGTACTTTGGTATCTTTCAGTTAAATTTTGCTGCATCTCTATGAGCCGTGAAATATCCCCCTTAAACACACATAAAAGAGCATAGAGAAAATACCCAACAAGAAGTGAACAAATGCAGATAGAATCAAAATAAGCTATTGTGCCCTCCAAGCTTGATGATTTGGCCTTGACACTTGACATTTTTGTTATATAATATGCCTAATGAGTATGTCATCTAGGACTGTGATGTTGCTGCTGAGAGCTGAGCTGTGAGCAATGGAGCAGGAGCTAAGCTATGGGGTATAGAGCACAGTAAAGAGAAGCTCACTCAGCAGCTGGAGGAATAGCAGGTCCAGGTTTTGGGTTCTGTCTGCAAGCAGTCTATGGTGTGTTAGGCCATGGGCTGTTTTGTTGGCTGGGCAGCTGGACTGTGCTTGATAAATTTCTGGTTTTAATCCTTTTGAAGGATTAAAGCCAACTCTTTGTAATTAGAATTTTTGAATTCATTTGCTTCTTGTAATTCATTGTTTCATGGAATAAAATTTCTTTTTCTAAAAAAAAAAGAATATATTGTTTGTGCTGAATGAATTAAAGGGCTGCTGCAATTTCTGAATTTCCAAATTAACCATACATATCAAAATTCCAATGTTAATTACTATAATAATCAAACTCTGGCACTAAACAATAGCATTTTCTCACCTAGACAAAGTACAAATTTCCTACGGCAACTAATTTGGAAAATAGAATCCACACAAAAGCCTGCTAAGCTCCTCATCATCCCTCACTGCAAGCTGAATGTGCCTTGGCACTATGCAATTCTTCTTGTTATCCCTTGTTGCATTCCCAGCCAACTCCAATACCTGTATTCAATAATCACCATCATTAAATCACAAGCCCAAAAACCCAAAAAAAAAACCCTCATTTCTATGCATCCAGTTCCATATATCTCCATAGGTGACAAAAATATAATCCAGTCCCATATGCATACAACATCAAAATAATAAAATGAAACAAATCACCAAATATTACCTTAACATTTGAGTGCAAGAATGTAACACATAAAGCATTTAGATCAAACTAAGCACTACATAGTAAGATGCTATTTGCTAGCATACGATCATGTCAAAGATGTAAATGTAGGTTCGCCAAATGAATCTCTGCTAAGGATCCCAAATACTGTATCCTTAAAAAATGGTGCCCAAGACTTCCTTTTTTGGTTCAGGTATCCGTGTATTATCTGGTGGATTACATATATGTTGGAAGATGATATCAAAAAAGGTGAGAATGATGGATGCATATTCCCAATGATAACTACCTTGTATCAGTCTAATTCCTTCAACAACAACAATTAACAGTTACTGAGACAGGCTGGGCAAGGCAAGAAAACCAAACCAAAAGGAACTGTCAGTGATACCCTTGAATTTTTTTGTTTTGAAAATATATATGTAAAGAGCATCTTGCAGCTGCAATGGCCAGACAACATCAAATAAAAAGAGAAATAAAATTTCTTATAAATAAAATCCACATGAAGCAAACAAAAATTATAGAAAAATATAAATCCAACCAAAACATAGTCATAACTAAAAACAGGCTGCCTATTTTGGGGTCATGCAAGTAGCACACTTTCAGAATAACGGCAAGCATAAGGCACCTGCATTTTTCTTGGAAGGAAAATCTCAGGAAAGATCTTTAGTGGAACTTACCTCTGTTACAACATCACGGGGAGGATGCTTAAAAATAATGTGTCCGAATTTGAGTTAATTGTATGCATGGTAATACTTACTCAAGTGTTTCAAATTTTGCTAAACAATACATTATACAAGACACTCATGCAAAATGAAAAGGTTTCAATTAACAAAATCTGTGAGTTCAGTCCACAAAAATTTGAAAGAGAGTTCTTTCTGGCATGTTCTAAAATAGGTGGAGGGTGGGGAGGTTCTGTCGAGAAAAAAAAAAGACAGCCAATTTAACGGGAAATATGAATTGAGAGAGCGATCGAATGAACAATTTGAATTGAAATTTGATCCATCTAAATGGCAATTCTTAACACAGAGACAACGAAGGAACATACCTTGCCTGTAGTCAAAGTTGCCTGAGGTCGCTCAAATCTGCTGATGCACCTCGCAAGGCTTTGTTGTTGAAGTCTAACGAAAAAAGACTGAACTCTCTTTAATGACTGAACTCTCCTCTAACGAAGGAGGAGGATTTCAGATCTAGTTTTTACCTGAGCTAAAAACGACGTCGTTTATTATAAGGAAGAGTTAAAAAAAAAAAAAAAAAAAAAACCTGAAACGCAGCCGTTTCATTAAACCGCATAACATGCGGTAAACTCCCAACCGCAGACGAGCCATACCCCTCGTTAAACAGCCTTTCTTGGTTATTTTAGATAGATTCTTCCTAAAATCTAACTCTAACGGACTATCTATTTCCCATAATCCTCGCTCGCTGGTTGTAGCGAGCCACTTCTCTCTTGCTGGCGCCAATTTCCTCCTCACTCTCTCTCTCTCTCTCTCTCACTGAAGCTCCACAACACAGGAGCTCCACTGTACCCGAATTTCGTCTTCATCAATCACAGAAAAACCCACCAAAAATGCACTATAATTTCACCGAAAAACCCACGAAAAATTCACTGAAATCTCACCCAAAACTCACTGAAATCCCACTGAAAAACACACCAAAAAATCCACTAAAAACCCTGCGAAATTTGTCTCTCCATTCCCACCGAAAATCGACTGAACCACCGGCTCTTGGTTCCAATGGACGTACAGGTACAATATGGTGGATCAAGGTCTTGTAAATGAGGAGGTATTCTCTGTTTCGCTTAATCGGAATCTGGAGGCACAAAGGGGAGGTGAGATTGTTTGGAATTTTTCTGGATTGTGTATTCTCTGTTGCTTGGGGAGGTGAGATTGTTTGATAATTTTCTGGATTTTTCTTAATCGGTATTCTCTGTTGCTTGGGTTGTGTGGAATTTTTCTGAAGTTTTCTTAATCGATATGTACACTTGTAGCCCATGTGTAATGATATTTACTCTTGTAGCTCATAATTGATTAAATTTATATGATTTATAGTTAAATTGTTATTTTTTAAATTTTATTATTAAAAATTAATTAAATTTAGTTGAAGTGGTTAGTTAAAATAGATAACATGATTGAAGTGAATTTAAAAAAATAATTAATTAAAATAAATAATATAATATTTAAATATATTTTAAATAATTATTTTAAATAACATCGTTGAAACAAAGTGGGTTTAATAATAAATCCGCAAGCAAGGACAGTAAATAAAGTAAACAAATTGGCGCTTACGTTCAACACACTCTTACCCGCAAAACGCTGCACCAAATAGTATTACTCATATTTATATTACCTCGGTTAGGATTATATTTTACAGCAAGGGTACCAGTACCAGAGATATAATTAAAAAGGGGTTCAGTTTACAAGGCTTTAGTCGTTACGAGGTTCGAAGAAAGTCAAATGTACGGAATTTTATCCAGAATTTGTTTTTGCAAGTACTAGAGAAATACTGAATTTATTTCTATTCTGCTGTGGTTTTTTATCTTTGGTCCTTAAATTAATATTTTACTTTCTTACTTATTTCATGAACTACTATTGTGCCTATTAAAACATACTTAAATTTAGGATCGATAATTAAGTTGAACTAATTGGTTTGACTCTAGCTGGGTTTAGACAGGATTCGAACTCGAGCTACGGTCGTGTTTTAAATAAATCGAACTTGAATAATTTTTTAGACTCGTTTAAAAAAATATGATCCTACAAGACTCAGGTACGATTGTAACCACATTTTTATCAAACAATGGGAGTTTAAAAAATAATCTAAAATTCATGATAGATAAGGAATTTGGTCGAAAAATACCATAACGTGGAGAAAAATGTTGGAGATAAATTGTTTAGTAGAGAGAGAGAAGTGAAAAGAAGACACTTCTCATTACAAAAGCAAATATGGATAAGTACGTAACCCAACATATTTAGTGCGAAGCGGTCTGTTTGTAAGCTTTGGTTCTATATATGGACCTCTTCCTTTCCCTTGTTGTTTTCTTACCTCATTTCACCAAACTATATGCAAAGAAACCATTGTTGAAGCTCTGAAAATCCTAACAAGTAGTTTTGCTTCTCTTAGAGTGTTACGTTTTTTATTCAGTTTCATCCTTTGGGTTATTCATTCAATTAAGAAAAGATTAATTGAAGACATGTTTTGTACTCTGCATTTGGTGTTTGGAATTTTTGGTGGGTTTTTTTATTCATTTCCATTGAGTTTTTGTGTGTGCTTTTTAATTTTCCATTTCTCTAGAATTGTTTTCCATCAGTTTTCCTCTCTGATTTATGTTTTCCACTTACTCTGTTTCCTTTTATTTACAGGGGATGCTTTTGGCCTGTTACTCTTCTTGGCACCAATGTAAACATTATCAATAATTCTCTCTCTCTCTCTCTCTCTCTCTAATCTGTTTTGTCTTATTGTTTGTTTGCTTGATTAATGGTAGGGTTACATTCAAGAGGATCATAATGAACAAATCTACAGAACAGTTCTCAGGCATACCCTACGTCATGACCTTGCTCAACTGCTTGCTTTCTTTCTGGTGAGTTTTCTCTTGAATAGGTTTTAAAACTATATATTAAGTACTTGTTTTCATTAGGATTAGTGCCAATGCCCACCTTCTTTCGCTGCGTTCCATTTACATTGATAGTACATTTTTCTTTTCAAATGCCAATCTACTAATTAAGTCACTGTTCATACATAAATTCTCAATCAATTTAGTCTTGAGTCCCTTACAATGCAATAAGACAACACATTAAATATATGAGTAATGCTACATAGACACACACGTGCGCGCACACACATTAGTAATCATGTCCGGCTGTGTCCCACTCATATCCGTGTCGGATACGTGTCCAACACCTTCACATCGACCTCTGGCCGAGTATCCATGCTTCTTAGAGATATACTTTCATTGGAACATTTTTGAAGTTTGTTCTTACTAGTTATGGTTTGAGTTAAAAGAATTTTTTCATTTTTTTAACATGAAAGGAACTCCAACATACTTCTGTTCTTTCCATTTAAGTCAAAACAAAAAATTTCTGTGCTATATATTTTTTTTTTCTATATTCTTCCTTGGTAATATATGTTGATTTACGGATTTGCCTTTGGTCGACCAACCAGGTACGGTCTTCCTTTTGTATCAAAAAACAACGTACAGGTATCAGTCATCAATGGCACTGGTGCAGTTCTTGAGTTCATCTACGTGTTGATCTTCCTCATATTTGCACCCAAGAAGGAGAAGGCCAAAATCTTGGGCCTCCTCACTTTCATCCTCACTGTGTTTTCGGCCATCGCCTTTGTTTCCATGCTGGCCCTCCGTGGCAAGAACAGGAACCGTTTCTGTGGCCTTGCTGCCTCTGTCTTCTCCATCATTATGTATGCTTCACCTTTATCTGTCATGGTAGGCTCTTTACAAAGTGCTTTATATTAATGTTCTAAAGGTTGTTTGATGGCATTGAATTGCTGTTTATATTCCATAGATTGGCATCTATGACAACGTTGATCGTTGATTGTGGCTGCAGTATGCTGTAGGAGAAAGGTTCCAATACCCATTTTTGATTAAATCGCTTACTAGAGAGCATGGTCTTGAAGACCTGTTTCCATTAGAACTGTGACCTCATACCTGTAGTCGGGCCATTTCTAAGCCAAGAACAATGCCACAGAACCGTGACCTCATACCTGTAATCGATCCAATTTCTCAGCCTGCCAAGATCTTCTGAAGTTTGATCGAACATAATCGTTACAATGAACATTGTGTCCAAACAGAAATACTTTGCATCATCCTAACAAAACTCTATATATGGCCGAACTCCATGCATTCAGAGAATGGTGCAACAAGAATTCCAACAGCGGCCCCTCCAATATTGGGACCGTATTACTCTAACAAATCAAAATTTTGAGGTAGCTGATGTGGCTGAATTTTATTATTCTCATCGTGCAATAATATTGGGTTAAACTTCATCATTTTATGTTCGGTTCAACTTCACAGCTTCCAAATTCAAGGGGCAGTAGTCAAGGAGAGATCATTTATACTTCACGGATATCTCATCTTTGTTAAGTTACTATGTATGGCATTATGAATGCAAACTACCTTCGACTCTAAACACATTGTAATCTATATGTGCAGAGGATGGTGATCAAAACAAAGAGTGTGGAGTTCATGCCATTCTTCTTGTCCCTGTTTGTTTTCCTATGTGGTACCTCGTGGTTCATATTCGGACTGCTCGGAAAGGATCCTTTTATTTATGTAAGTTCTAACACCTTAATTTTTAGAATAGATGATTATTTAATATGGTATTAGAGCAAGAAGTATTGTGTTCAAATATTGCCGCCACCCTAATTATTAAAAAAATTTCACGTTCTAAGTCCAAAATCTAGCATGCACGTGAAGAGGCATGTTGAAGTATAAAATATTTAAGTTACACCCTTTCTGATAACTTTAGTGTTTGAAGTAGATAGTTGTTTAATAGTTACCTAGAGTCAATTTTTGGTGTTTGATTATAGCTTCAAGTTCCTTTCCTAAATGCTCCAATTGTTGGCTGCCATAGAGGAGCGTTACTTTGAAACCCAAGTTACTTGGATTCGGTTTGTTTATGAACAAGCCTGGAAATTTAATCAAATACGGGTCATTTTTTAATTTCAATGATCCAAAATTTGATTCAAACTCAAACTGCTCAAATCGTTTAACAGTCCTAACCCAGGCAAGGTTCCAACAAAAAATGTTGAGGCCTATTGCCCCTGCAATTCTCATCTCTGACCCTTTAGCTTCGATTGAGAGTAACCTACATTGCATTGATTCTCTGATATCCTATAAGACCACATGCTGAAACAAGTTCATTGAGTCTTAACATGGTGGATATTCAAACTTAAAAACAAGCCTATGTTCTTGTACCGGAGAATTCCTGCAACGAATAAAGATAGTGATCCGTTGGATGATGAACTTCAAATAACCAAAAGTTAGGAAAGGGGCTAGGTGAACACCCGACTGGTCCCCTCCGAAGTTTAAGTCTTGGAGGCTTTAACAGTGATTTTTTTTCAGTTTAGTTTTTTATACATTTGTTCATTTTTCTGTGGAGTATTTATATTTGAACTAACAATGAGTACATGAACTTTGAGTCTCATCTCCACATTTAATGATTCACACTATTATCTATGCATAATGAGTGTTGCCCCCTCAGATTCTCATGATTGATTTGCTTGGGAGATCGGATGATAGCTCGAGGCACGCCGAGCATTTATGACCCTTTTCCAGGTCATTGGATACATTTGATCAACGTTTGACACCTATTCTCGAGCGTTTATTACTCGGGATGAATAACCTCGGGGTGTCCCAAGTACATAGGATCGGCGCACTAGGCATTAATGCTTTTGCAATGATGATTGTCTCTGTGCATCTGGAGGACACAGAAGTTCATTAATAGTCCTGTCACAGTCACTCAAGTTCTCATTTAATGGACTGTCACATCTTCTTTAATGCTGGTTCAATCGGTTATCCTTGGCTCCTTTGGGCAATTACTGCTCGGCACCTTCTCCCAATTCCTTTTGAGTTCCATAACGAATATATCTATCCACATGTCGGCTTGGGGCTGCTGAGCCGCCTAAAGTCCCGACAATTCTATTAATGTTGAGGGAGATTAATTATGGTGTTTCAGGTGTCCAACGGTTTCGGAAGTGCCTTAGGGGCAATGCAGCTGATCTTGTATGCCATTTACCGGGACAAGAAGAAAGGGGACACCAAGAAAACCATCGGCAATGAATCTCTGGAGATGGGGCTCGACAAGCCCCACCTTCCAGAAACAATGCAGCACTAAATTCTCGGATGAACGCATTTAGACACTTGTTTGAATTTCATTTAGGCAATTGTACATCAATTCCTTCATTTTTTTTGCTTTTTTATTTTTGTTTTATGTGTGTTTTGGGTTATTTTGGAGGGTGTCCTCAAATTGTTTTTCCAACTTAATACTAGTGTTCTAAATCATCAATCATCATCTTAGCGGCAACCTATTATGTAACCAAATATGTTGGAGACAAAAAGGGGATAAATGTATGCTTTGCACACATTATATATCTTTCTACATGTAGCTAGACACCTAATATCGCGCTGCAACGCACACACACCTGCATCTACACACGGACTTATGCACAAAATATGTGATCAAGATTTAACCCCATCACCTGCCTGGGCTTGGGGTATGGTGTTCGATGTGAAGCTCCCACGAATGCTGCTGCCAAGTTTTGGTTGCGAAATTCTAATCGTGCAATTGTTTTGGCCCCGAAATTCACCCTGTAGTTTCAACCCAAACCTGAGAATCCGAGCACGTGGATGTGGACAAGTAACGGCTCGTGTTTGGAGGAAAGTAGAGCAACTAACAAGTTTATTTTCAATGGGTTTGAGTACAAACAAGACCATGCAAACAATTCTGCGAATTTGGCTGTCCTAAGAGTGGCATTTGAACTAGTCATGACCTATGAACCTGTGGTCCAAGTTTAAAAGGTCCATGCTCCAAATTTAAAAAAATGGGTACTTCAAATGTTGAAAAATTTAAGATAGATTGAATTTGCTAACATGATAGATTCTCACCATACAAAAAAAAAATGTTTATGTAACAAGATTTGTCATATTGCCTTGCTCTACATGCTTTTGCTATCCGGATGTTTTTTAATATATTTTTGTTCAATTTTTCTCAGGATTATGCAATTAGCTTAAAATATTGTGCGTCGATTAAATCCTGAGTTTTATGTAATCAATGACGTATCTAAGATTTTATTTTAGTGGGTCAAACAAATGATGCAAGAAGAAGTTTTTGTTTGAAGGCCTCATTCAATAAGTGACGCTAATATAAAAGTTATAGTGACATTGAACGTATCAAAATAAACATTCTCATTGTAAATGGTATTACTATCTATTTTGAATAAAATTGAGTAAATTAATTTAAATCTATCAAATCGATCTGATGTGAGAAAAATTCCGACCAATCCAGAAAAAAAACAAAAACAAAAACAACAATAATTTGCTTGATTTCACTACACATTACTCGTGTAATACGTTTTACCCAAGGGCGGAGCCACTTTATGCCCCCCACGCGCCTCAATTTTTGTTTCTTAAAATTACTTATATATATTTTAAGTACTTTTTTAATATTTTTAATTTTGTTCATCCTATTTTTTAGTCAAGATCAGAAATGACATGATATATCCATGAGTTTACTTGTAATTTTGACATTTATTTTACTAATTATTTTAGATATGATAGATAAGACATTTGATTTCGTAATCAAATGAATGATAAATAATTAAGTGATAGCATGATTATAGATATAAAAGAATAATAAAGTCAATACAAGACTTTCAAAGTATGAAAATTCATCGAAATAAATTCTAGATGATTTTGATTAGCTTTTGTTTCGTAAAATGATATAATTAATTTTTTTTTTTTTGTCATTTGTATCTATTATACTTACCAATTTTAGTCTTTTGAATTTAATGAAGTTTTAAGTATTAAATAAGATGTAATTAAATATAAATATATTATTTTATTCTTATCAATTAACAAGAAAAAAATTAAACTTTTAAAAATATTCAGTGTCCACCCTAGAAATGATTTTCTGACTCCGCTCCCTCAATTATTGTTTTGAAAACGGCAACAATTAACCAATCAAATTCATGACATTTTGTAGAAATCATTATAATTTTGTGACGCGAAAGCTACTAAATTTCTGTCAAATGGTCCACAAAACTATTTTGAATCATTAATGGTGCAATATGAAGTAAAGTAAAAATCAAGATCACAATTTCAAGATATAAAATATAACTTTAAAAACTTTTAGAGGGTCAATTTTTAGTTTTTTTTTGGACCAAAATCTTGAGTGCAAAAAACGTAGTAATTTTAAAAGAGCAATATTATTTGAAACTAATTTATTGGTCAACCTAATCACTTAGAACCATTAGATTGATAGTTGTCTTAGTATTCATCGAAACTTACTATCAATCCAATAATTATGATAAATTAAATTAATAAATTATATTAGCAAATTTAGGTATTAATAGTGTTTTTGATTTTAAAAACTTGTCATGACCCTCAAAATTTAGCAACTGAATCACCTGAGCTGGTGATCTAGTAGTAGGTCAAATTCATTTAGGGTCATTTTTTTATTCTTATGTGACTATCAAGTAGAGTTCAATTCACAAAAACAACACGGTTTACTGCTTGGCTTTAATGGTGCTATAGTGACGGACTGTCTTTCCAAGTTAGTAATTATAGTTCAAATCGAATATTCCACAGTAGGAGACCCCAATGGTCATGCCTAAGGGAGGTTTGCTGCCTACTGATGACCCTCAAAATTTAGCAATTGAATCACTCGAGCTGATGATCTAGTGGTAAGCTGTACCCGTTTAGAGTCGTCTTTGATTCTCATCTGGCTATCAAGCAGGGTTCGATTTACAGAAGCAACGCGATTTTTTACTTGGCTTTGATGGTGTTGTGATGACGGACTACACTTCCGAGTTAGTAGCTATCAAATATTTCACAATAGGACACCCTCATGGTCGAGGTTTATTACCTACTGATCGTCAGTACTCTCTTTTAATAACCAAAAAAAAAAAAAAGTTTAGCAATTGAAATAGGTAACATGATGGTGATATCAATCAGCATAGGTACACCATGAATGCCGAAAAAAGATGTGAGAAGAAGAACTTATTTTCCTTTTCTTACCCAACTGGCATATAGCCAGTACTCTCTTTCAACTAATTAATAAATGAATTGAATTAATTAATATTATTAAATACGAACAGCAGTTTAACTGAATTATATAAAATAAAATGGTTAGTAATTATCATTTCCGTTTCTTAAGTTGATATGTAATCTGAATTATTGTAGAACTAAACAGTGTTATATTTTGGCTAAGACACGGATCACGACCCGGAAGAAGTAAGTGTAGGCTTTTCTCCTTTATGATCTACTAAGGTAATCCGTGTCTGAAGGCATAATGTAATGTGAATGACTTTGAAAGGGATATTGGTAGCCGTTTGATAAGTATATTTGAGACCGTTGAATGAACTTATTGAAATCTACCCTGTTTTATATTATAGATGTTTGTTGGCCTCTGTATCGTTTTATAGATTAATCAATGTCTGTAACTCGCTCTTTTGAAGTTAAAACTTTTTTTATTATTAGCACTTAATCACAGCATTTAAACCAAAATCCAAGTTTTTCTTAGGAAGGTGAACAACTTGTCAGTAGTGTAATTACTTACAAAAAAGCTTTATTTATATAGATTAGCACTTATTAAACATGACAGTAATACAAAGTAGAACAAGAAGAACATAAGAACTGGAACCATGCACCCTTCAGATCGATTGTGTAGCAGACCCGAAACGACTAGACACAACAACATAAACGACTTCTTCCATTGAATTGGGAAAACCTCAAATCAATTACGACGAGGCCTTTTTCCACAGATGCTTTCGCTTTGAACCTCCTACCGGCTTTGTTGTTACTGTCACAGGCTTCAAACCCTACAATCAAATAAAATTCGTTACATATACGTATTAAGTATAAGGTGTATGCAAACAAAGCCATGAAAAAGGTGGTGAACAATTTTGCAAGCTTAACTTAAAACTAATACAAGTGATGTTTTAAGGAATCTCAAACACGACAATTAAATAGTCAACAATTCAATTTTATATTTATTGTAATGTTTCTCACGCAATATATATGTGTTTCGTATTATATCAAGCACGCGATTCAATTACTATGTAATCCACAAATTATAAAAGAAAAATCTCTTATGGGCATTATGTCCTTGGATTTAGATCTTTTAGGTCAAACCACGTGATGATTTCAACGTGTTCTTGTTTTTTTCATTCTCTCTTTTATTTTTAGTTGTTTAAAATGTAATAATATAGAAAGTTAAGAAAAAAAATCGGATGGTGAAAGTTAAGAAAACGTCAATATTTTTTCAAATGGGTAAGGAGACAGACTAGAAATTTAAGAAACTTGGACATCATAAATCCTTCACATTCGTTAATGATGTTAATGACGGAGATAATTAACAAAAAACACTCACAAATTTCACCAAAGAATTAACAAACATATTGTCTATGGGTTTTGTTACAGTATTAATAACATTCTTTACTGAATCTGTAACAAAATACGATGAAAACTCAAAGGGATTTGAAAATATCTCTAAAATGTCAAAAATTCAAATTAATAAAGATTTTTAGTCTTAATGTTTGACTTTGTCTAATAAAGTTGCAAGAATTTTGATTCATTAGCCTCTGAAAATGACAAGAAATACGAATTTAGAACATATCTCAACAAAATACGACAAAGTAAAGATTTGCAACGGTGAACAATTTATAAAATGCACCAATGTTGATGACTCTGTTTCATTAATTTTTGATATGGTACGACAAATCCAAGGTTTGTAAATAGATCTTTCGCCATCCCGACAACATAAGTAAGGTAACAGGTACAACAAAATGAAGATTTTGGCAATGATTAAAATCTATCAAACATGACAAAATTGAAGATTCGTAACGGTAAACATTTAAACAACAATAATGTTGATGACTCTGTTTATCTCTAACGTGTACGACAAATTTAAGATTTGTAATCAGTTCTTTCACCATCTCGACAACATAAGTATAATAACAAGTACGACAAAACGAAGATTTTGACAGTAATTAAACTCTATCACACGTGACAAATACGAAGATCTATAATGGTGAACATTTAAACGATAACAATGTTGATGACTCTATTTCATTAATCTCTAACATAATAAGACAAATTCATGATTTGTAAATATTTGACCATTCCGACAACATAAGTATGTAAACAAGTACAACAAAATGAAGATCTTAGCAGTAATTAAAATCACCACTCAAATTTTATTTTTCTTGTACTTGTTGCTATATACTCAATGTTTATCTTAAGAGGATCAGATGTACAATCAGACAATTTTTATGACTCGAATCACAATTGATTAGTATGCTAGGAAACAAACTTACCACTACCAAAGATCCAACCCCATTACCTTAGAATTTTCTAGATCAGCATAGTATTTGTGTGGATCTGCAAGTGAGGGAGAGAGGAAGATCAAGGGTAGAGAGAGTAACGACAAACGAGGAAGGTATCTGATTCTCATACCATAAGTTAAAAACAGCTTTGTTGATCTGTAATACTAGACACACACACACACACGCAGAGAGAAGTACATTACCCCCATAAATATTTTTTCAGCCTCCTCTCTTCCATGGGTATCAATCACCTTCAACGCTGCCGCCTGAAAAACATTATAATTTCAGAACTAAACATTGGCCTATGATCATCGTAAAGTTCGATAAAAAAGTAGTATAAAAAGGAAAGAATTCCAACAACAAATGATGAGGATGACTCTTGACAAACCCTGAATTCGTTCAGTTCCTCTTCAGAGAGAGTCTTTGGTTCTTCAATGGAGGTCGTCCTCTCAAGCATCGAAGAAGCCGAAGGTTTCTCCATTATTCTCAGCAAAGCTTCAGAAACAGACAGATATAGAGAAAAGTATGAAAGAATGTAATTGTATGTGGGAATGGCTTGTGTGTATGAGAAATGGAATTGAGGGGTGTCCCTTATATAGGCGAAGAGGCCAAGGTAGTAAGTGCATAGGCACCAGATACGAACGTGGCAAAAGTTTCTTACGCCTGGCACCTTGCATGCATGGTGGAGCTTCAAAAGATGCTAACAGCTTGGTTCAAGTGATTAACAGCTGGTTATACCCTTCATGCAACAAGTGAACAACCCTAGCAAGCTCTCTCTCTCTCTCTCTCTCTCTCACACACACACACACACAACATTCAAACATATATCTATAAACCATACTTTGCTGCTCTTATCAGAACCTAGCTGGTCTGTGAGGTAATACATTGTTATATGCATGTAAACTTACAATTGTAACATAATTATAGGATTCATTTCAACATGTTTGCCATCAGAGAAGCGAGAAAGCTAAAAATGAAAATTGAAATAAAGCAAAAAGGAAGAACATCTTCATAAAATGAAGATTCGAAAGAAGAACAAGATCAAGAGATGCATGGACGGTAGGAAAACGAGGAGAAAATATTCGGAGAAAATTTTTGGGAATGTCACCAGCGAATAATAATTAAACTACCATGTGGAATCTATTTAATTTTGTAATTTTATATATATATATATGTAAGGAAAAAGAGTAATCAATCTTTAGGGTTGGTTCAAAGATTGATTCTAGTATATGGTAATTTAGAGGTCTTATATTCAATTTTTTCTCATACTCGCTAAGGAGGAGTATCCACCATTATTCTTTTAGAGACATGCTCTAGCATAACTCAAGTTACACTGGTCATTCATTGTGCTTGAGGGGGTAATCGATCGATGTAAGCCTAAATATCTTATACCAAACAAAAAAAAAAGTAAAATAAATAGGATAATGATGTTGAGACTTAAAAAAATGAGCAATGCTATTGGGACCTAATTTACTAGCATGATTTGTTGACCTAATTCACTTTGACCTTTGAATTCGTTGTGGACCTTATCAAATATTAGAACTTAGTGTTGATCCAATGATTACTATAAAAACACATCATTATGTCAACAAATTAGGTCAAATTTTTAAGTTCAAATTGTATTACTCTAAAAAATTACCTTAATTTGTTGATTTAATGATGTGTGAAGTAATAAGAGTCCTAATAAATAAATTCAACATTTACCGTCTTAATAATTCTATTGGACCATGTTAGAGTAAATTATGTCAAATATTTAAATCCTATTAGCATTACTCAAGAAAATAACCGCAATGCCCAAAAAAGTGAGTCCACCTTCCTCGTTTGAAGGTTGTTATTTGATCGGTGACACAACATGACAATTATGACATAATATTACCCTTACACCCAATGAAAAGGATATACTAGCACACACCACCACAGCTTTGCTACTCACTAAAAGATTATAACTAAGAACCTCTTTGGTTGGTATTTTGAAAGGGATTTAGATTGACTTGTCTAAACTTTTTCAAACTCAAATTCCTCTTTATAAAAATAGAATTCAATATTCAATCTCGTTCATACCTATGTTTGGTATGCGCGTAGATATATTACTATTATGATAATTTATTTGTATATAAATAACTATTGTGCTCCTTAACCAATCTAATCTAAACTCATATTTGTATATGTACATTTTCTTGTGTCCTTATAATGTTAATATGTGATTATTTGGGGGTATATGTGTTATATGGGGGTATAAATATTATTTTGTATGTTCAACCCTTTAACCCTAATATAAAACCCACCCCCACCTCTCTCCCCCCAAAAAAATCGGGTTTCATAAAACCCATGAATATGGGTTTAAATTACAGGTCTAAAACGGGTTGTTTGGTAACTTAGGGTAGAAATGTAGTTGTCAAACATGGGTTTGATGGATTTTGTGGACTTTTATTCTCAACTCACCTTTCAAATCTCCCCCTTGTCCCACATATCAAAAAGGCCCCAATTGTATTGAGATATAATTTGATTTGGGCACATAATGTATTATGATCATTTAATTAATAATATAATACATTTAATGTTAGAACCAACCGATAATCTAATGGTCACAATTATTATGTCTCCAAATTATAACAAGTAAAATTGCTCAAAGATTATACAATATTATCGAATCAGGGTGAATTAGTGGGTCTGAGTAACTTTTCTAATGTCATCCATTGATCAAACATTGGCATTTCATTTATCAAGCAATTTTGGGAATTTAAATGATCTGTATTACACTTTCGCTCAATTTTCCTTAGTGGTAGGTCACCTAATCTGTATGGTCAGGGACTTACTTATACACCTATAAGTAGCGGATCCAACTTGAATTTATGGTAAGTGGCTTTAAGTTTCGGTCCAATTTTTAATAAACTAATTGACAGGGTGTTCACTCTATCCTACGGATAAAAATTATGGTATTCTATCTTTCTACCTGATATTTTGTTGAAAATTTTTTCTTGCCCTATCATACTCGATTAAGTGTACTATTCATACCCGAAATTCCGTCCAAAATAATGGAATAGAAAGTCGGGTAAAAAATCGGGTGCATATATATTTTTTAGTTATTAATTTTTAGATTATTTTAATAATTTAATTAAATAACATGCAACAATTAATCAACACAATAAATCAATAACACTAAAAAATAACAAATTCGATATTACATAAACAATTACAATAAAATACAACAAAAAAATCATAAATATCAACATATCATAATTAGGCCTGACTTTGAGAAAGAGGAGGAGGCGTGGGATTTTAGGGTTTTTGCACACATTAACACACACGCGCGCGCGCACGCATATATGGGTAGAGTTGAATAAGAATACAGATTTTGCATTCGTACTTGATTTTTATAAAATATCAAAAATTCTTCTGTTGGCCTAAGCGATTTTTTGAAATAATAGATTATGGTCGGGTAGGATTGAAATATGCGGGTAATCAAAAATTTAAAAATCCTTACTAATTGATATACAACACATAATTTTTAACCCATATTAAGAGTGGTGTAGAGGTCTCAAGTTTGATATTTCTCACATCTCTTAAGTGTCAGCCACCTTATTTTTCAGGAAATATATCCTTAAATTAGCTCAAATATGATTGATTCGAAACTCAAAATAGTAGTCAACGCAAGCATTAATACCACGTAGTAAACAAAACACATAATATCTTATTGGTTTCTACCATGAGCGATTTTACGGGCTCTTCCTTCCTACCCACACCCACATGTCACGCATGTCCTACTCAAACCTCTTTCATCACACAAAAAAGGATTAATCTCAAAATTACATCTCGAAATGTTGTTCAAATCTCAATTTATATTCTTAATGATAAAAAATTTTAATTTACACCTTCAAATATAAAAATTCGTATCAATACACACCTTAAGCTAACAGCCATCAATGTCGTTTGGATAAATCATATCTAAACCCCCTCATGTTTGTCACTTAATCACTTACATCCCTCATATTTGAAATATTACACTAATATCCCTTAAAATTCAAATATGACCAAAAATATTCTCTCAATTGGGCATTCAAATAATTATGTTTAAGTAATATATTATATTGGATATAAAGAACATTATATAAATACATGTATTATATTAGACATTCAAATGATAAATTTGATTTTGAACATTAGAGTATAACAGACACACAAAATAAAGAATAGTATGAAATTATAATTTTTTATTATGATGAAATCATATTTTTTTAACAGTTATATTAGATATTAAGGGTGTTCACCTTACCCTATGGGTAGGAAATATAATCTTCCGTCTTCTTACCCGATACTTTGCGAAAGAACTTTTTATTGGTCTACCCTACCCGATTAGGTATGGTATTCCTAACCGACTTTCTACCCTATTAATCGAATAGAAAGTCGGGTAAACACTTTTGTAGCTATTAATTTTTTAATCATTTTAACAATTCAACAAAATTACATGCACCAATTTAACAACACAATAAATCAATAATACTAAAATCTAAAACAACTACAAAAACAATTACAATATAACATAAGAAAGCATGAACATCAATCCATCATAATTATTACACAAATACAATAACAATTATTTTAAGATTAAACTATATGAAACACATTAAAATCATCACTGCTCTAATAGATCACTAGTTCACAACAAGTCATGTAACATACACAAAAAACAAGTCCATGTTTTCGAAACTTAAATGTTTATAACAATAACAATGTTATAATATAAATTATACCACACAAATACGATTATAATTACTAAAAAAAATATAAAAAAGTTAAATATCTTTTTTGCGGGTAGGATAGGGAAAAAAATACGAAAATTGATAGGTATTTCACATTCCTACCCGATTTAATCGAAAAATCAAAAACTCTTCTGCATTCCTACCCGATTTTTGTGACTAGTCATTCAATAGGGTAGGGTAGGGTAGAAAATTGTAACCAATCGAAAATTTGAACACCCTTAATAGATATCAACAATAAAGGGTTATGTGTTACATGTGCACAAACCTTAAGAAGTGTAGGAGTAATATTCTAAATGTGATGGGTCCAAATGATTAAGTGACAAGTATGAGGAGATTTAGATGTAATTTATCTATTTAGTTTTAGACAACAAACTGACAATTGTTAGTTTGATGTGCGCATTGATACAAATTTTTATCTTTCAAGGTGCAAATTGAAATTCGAACAATATTTCAGGTGTAATTTACAATTAATCCTTAAAAATGTGGTTAAAAATATGAAAAATAAATTAGATTCAATTATATAAGAGAATTTATTTTCACAATTCATATTCAAATTCATTATCGAATCCAAATGTCAGGCTTGGAGGTTGGGCCAGTATCGAATCGGGTCAATTGAGCTTATGTATTTTGAAGGTCCATCGTTTATAAAATTTACTGGTTCAAATTTTTTGAAAATCTATTATTAAAAATAGAAGTATATACGATCTGTGATTATTTAAGA